CCACACATGTCTCAAAACTTAAACAGCCCCCAACCCCCTCTTGACACCATAGTATGAGACCCGTAATCTTAATCTTCATGCTGTACTTCGAAATAAACAGTATATGCGCGAACCCCAAGCCCCAAACCCCCAGAACCTAAACCCTAAATCCCCAAACCCTAAACGTATAGATCCCTTTATAGGAACCCTGAATCGAACCCTTACCCTAAACCCTAAAACTCCGAACCCGAAACCCTAAACCCCTGAACCCTAAACCCCTAAACCCCTAAACCCTAAACCCCTAAACCCTCAACTCTAAACCCCTAAACCACAAAATCCTAAAAACCCTAAACACCCTAAACCCCTAAACCCTAAACCCCCCAAAACCCCAAAACCCCTAAACCCTCAGGGCCCCTGGCCCAGCTTCGCTGTTGCTCTTCGCCATGGCCATGAGAAAGCGGCGTGGACCTCTGGACGAAGCGAAGCGAAGCTCCCTAAAAGGGTCCTTGTAAGGGTTTAGGGTTTAGGGGTTTAGGGTTTATGGTTTAGGTTTAGGGTTAAGAGGTTTAGAGGTTTAGGGGTTTAGGGTTTTGGGTTTTAGAGGTTTAGGGGTTTAGAGGTTTAGGGTTTAGGGGTTTAGGGGTGTAGGAAAGGAAGTTTATAGGCTTCAACTATGAGGCTTCAAAGGGCGGTTTAGGGTGCAGGATTCAGGGTTGCGGGACGCGGCTAAGGTTCAGGCGTTCTTGTGGCTTAAGTCTCACTGATCATCACCCTCACCCCCCCAGGTACCTACTATATAGGGTACAAGAGCCCCTAGGGCCCTATATAGTAGGTACCTGGGGTTTCAAGGATAAAGTTGGTAGAGCCAAGGGGATCCCCCACTTGTTCGGGGCAAAGGCAAAGATGGGACTTGCGCTGACGAAAATGGTCAACCGGGCTGTATTGGCTGGGTTTGGGGCAAGCCCGCGTTCAGCTTAGGGGGCGCTTTTCATGTGTAGTTCTCGAGGAGTTTGCGGCCGAGATGTCAGGAACGCCCAGCGTTGATGCTGGAGCATAGATGCCTGTATGGAGAAGAGAACAGGCTCGAAAGAATAAGCATGAAACATTGAGAATTGACTCGAAACCCCCAGTCCATGCTCGTCTTCAAGGCTACATCGGTTGGAAGCGACCAAAACAGCGGTTCAAACTCGGTATCTCCGGACAGGTAGGCCCTTTGGTCATCATGCGGGTAATCGGGATCGAGGTCCCGGACTACCTCGTGCAACCCGTCCGGCAACCCTTATAGATCCCTTATGGAACCAAATCCCTTGCCTACCCTGACCTACATGACTTTCAATCCAAGCACATGCACGTACATAGATACGTACGTAGGTTTGTAATTCCGTATTTATATGTATGTATGTATGTATGTATGTATGTATGTATGTATGTATGTATGAAAGTACGTATGTATGTGTATATATATAAGATATATTTGATAAATACATACGTACACATACATACAAACATAAGCGAAGGTTTGTTCATTGTACCAAAGTTCGAAGAGTGTCCGCTTGCCCCAGACAGAAACATACGGAAAGCGTACACTCTTGTATAACCGGCATAACCTCTACCATTCTCAGAAGGTACGCAATACAAGTTGTGTTGCAGATCCCTTCTAACAAACTCTGCCAGTAAAGCTAAAAATCCCCAAAGTATTGTCAGAGTTAAGAATTTGTGCTACCTGTGTATTATTGTGACGATGTTTTCACGAGATCAGGGAAGCCAACCGCCAAACAAATGCCACCTTCATCAAAATTACACCCTGAACTAAACTCTAAATCATACCTGGGCCCTGAAGAACCTACTTTTTAAGGACTTATATAAGGAAATCATACGAAGGAAACCTAAAAAAGGAGGTTCTGTAGTCCAGGTAGAGCCAACTCAACCCTAAACCCTAAACCCTAGAAACTAACCCTTAAAACCCTAAACCCCTAAACCCTGAGCACCCGGCTGTTGGGTCTCCACAGGAAGGAGGGCTCCAAACGTACAGACCTGGTGCCTGCCCTGAGCCTATAGCTGCGAAGACCAGGGAGGATTTCTGCAGTGGAGCCGAGAGGGTTTAGGGCTTAGGGCTTTGGGTTTGCGGTTCAGGGTTTAGGGTTTGGGGTTTAGGGTTGCATCGAGGTGGAAAGTTCGAGGAATCGAGCCATGCCAGGAGATGACAACGAGAAAACGAGGGGCAAACACTCCTCGACTCGGAATCTGAGATCAATCCGCATCACGAAGACTTAAACCGGAAAGAACCCCCGAACTCTGAACTCAAAACCCCCGAACTGCTCCAAGGGCGCCTCGTGCAGCCGTGAGTGGGAGCGGGGCAGTGGCATGCTCCGCGCGCTGTCGCAGGGAGGATCGAAGTTCGGCCAGCCTCTTGCGGCTTTCTGGCAGGTTTAGGGTTAGGGTTTAGGGTTTAGGGTTTAGGGCTTATACCATTCGTCGTAGCTAGTTGAGTATACGAGTACTCTTCAGAACATGCAGGCCTGTGTAGTCGTGATACAGCAATATATGCAGTCGTCTGTTCCCGCTTCCTTTCAGAGGCATGCTCAAACCTATACCAGATGTCGTGGCCCTAAACCCTAAACTCTAAACCCGAAGCCCTAAACCCTAAACCCTAAACCCCTGTCGGCAGACTACGTCTTCATCCGTCTCGCTCAGATTGACCTCTTTGTATCCCGAAACCTTCCCGACTCCCGAAGTCGATCTCTCCGAACTACGGCATAATATAGGGGCCTCAGTAATTTAGGGTTTAGGGTTTAGGGTTTAGGGTTTAGGGTTTAGGGCCTATACTATTTTGGGGTTCCTTATGATAAATATAGTATAATGGGCCCCAAAACCCTATTTATGCACTTTCAGAGGCGTCCACAGAGCAAGACTAGGCACCCCCAGAAGCCCGAAGCTCAAGGGCGATGGGCCGTAGAGGAGCTTACCGACTCTGACTGGGCTGCGGTCTTTGCTCGCCAACTAGAATTCACTCCGTGCGTTTGTAAATGAAAACCTTCTGTACCATGCGCTCATATATTACGCAACAGATGCGATTCTTTTCTTTCGGTGCCATACGATATGAATTAACCTCTAGACATTCAACTACTCCATAAGACCAACATGTTCCCAGGGCAGCCTGGACCCTAACTCGCTGAAGCCTAAACCCTTGAACCCCAAACCCCAAATCCCAAAGCCCTTAATACCTAACCCGTAAATCCCTAACCCTAAAACACTAAACCCGAAATGTCTGATTCCTAAACCACTGAATCCCAAACCGCTACAACCCTAAATCCCTGAGCCCTACATCCCTAAACCCCTACATCCCTAAACCACCTAACTCCCGACTCTAAACCCTAAATCCTAAACACTAAATCCCTAAATCCCTAAACCCTAAACCCTAAATCCCTAAACCCGAAACCCCTAAACCCTAAACCCGAAACCCCTAAACTCCTAAACCCCTACCCTCCCAAAAGGATCTCTGGGCTCTGGGGCTCGGAGGACGCATCAGGTCGCCCTCCTCCAGGCTGCGAACCATCGCCTCCCCAACCTCTCCGGGGGGGGATTTTGGGTGTAGGGTGTAGGTTTTAGGGTG